AACAATATAATGTTACTCAAACCTCCTCTGTAAAGCTAGTTTAGTTCTGCTGCTTCTGTAATACAGATACAGCTCTGTGGTCTCTGATTGCATAGGAGGTATCATCTTAAGCATGTCAGCAACACAAAATGCCCTTTTTTTCTTACTCAAACACATCATGAAGACTGCAGATTTACATCTAATTATTTTAATATGATACAACACACCCATAGAGAAAATGACAGAATGGAATTGTATAGTGTTAGCTAGGCAGCAGATTGTTACTTTTAGGTGTTATTAAAAGAAGTGAGGAAGCAGTTGGCAGACTTATCAGATCGTCTGTCTGCATGTCTGTTTCTCCTCTCCTGTTTAACTAAAATATCTGTAGAGTCTATCATAGTAGTCACTGGAAATTGTGTCTTTTGTCCAAGAAAAATATTTTTGTATTATAATACACATTTACAGTCCCCATTTGACTTAGCCTCAAGTGTCCATCTTATTTCTATACCTGAAAAAATAGATTAAAGTGTATTAAAATTTAAGAAATTTCTATTCTGTAAGAACTGGGGGGGTTTCAAGTTCCTGAAGTTTTCTATTTATTTTATTGAAGAGATGTAGATGGAATTCAAAGTTTTCTTACAGTCTTTTGGAAAAAGTGGACTTAAGACATGTTGGTAGATGGCGTACTGTCTGTAATTTTACCTTTGCTCAGCAGATAGCACAAATTAGAGATGTTAAACTGGCAAGGATCCTCCCATCTTAAGAGACCTCTGCAGGTCATTTTAAATTCATAAAGCACCATGGATGGAACACAAGGCTAAATTAGAAAACAGGTTCAGAAACAAATTTAGTTAACACATATAAGGCTTAAATTTTAGGGGGTGTGATCTTGTTCCTAGTTAAACACTCTTGCTGCAACAGTTTTAATCTATGAAAGTTTACATTCTAAATAAATATTAAAGGCAAAACATCATAATCTTTATTAAGCATTTCGGGTTAATTACTGGCCTTTATTTGGGGGAGAGTTCCAGTTTCATAAATTTGAGGTACCAGTTGCTAGGTCCTCACTTTATAGCATAGTGGCATACTACTAGCAGAAAACTAGGGAGGAAAAAACCCACATTGATTGAGCACTAGAACAAATTTAAAATAAAGAACACTAAAAATATTTTTTCCAAATTAATTTCAGAGAATCATAGAATCATAGAATGGCCAGGTTTGGAAAGGACCTTAAGATCGTCTAGTTCCAACCCCCTATCGTGGGCAGGGAGACCTCACACTAAACCATGTCACCCAAGGCTCCATCCAACCTGGCCTTGAACACTGCCAGGGATGGAGCATTCACAACTTCTTTGGGCAACCCATTCCGGTACCTCACCATCCATACAGTAAAGAACTTATTCCATAGAATTTATTAAACAGAATAGATTGGGTTTATTTTTATTTTCCTTTTTTTTGTTGTGGTTGGTGGTGTTTTTTTTTTTCCCTGGTCTTCTGTTGCTCTTCCATTGTTAAAATAAAAAAATACGCAATCTATTTGAAAGGTAACAAGAATTGCTAGCATACTTAAGCTAACTGCCTGGGGGAGAAATACTGAGGTTACCCAGTATGAAAATGCTTCAAAGGAAGCAGAGAATGAGTCTCCATATTTTGAACAAGAGATAAATAAAGCATATACTCATATCTTCAGACAATCCTGTTCAAAGACTTTTGAAAACTTCTCTTTCTTTTAAACCTGTCTACCTCACCTCCACAGGACATAATTCAATCCTAGCATATACATACATTTTTTTCACTCCCATCCCTCTGGGCTGGAATATCATACTATGCATTCTGAGACAGAACTATGCATTCCTTTTTGGCCAATCATACCGCATATGTTACCAACAATGCAAAGAATGTATGTCTGTGGCCTAATGCTATAGTTTTGCAAAATGTATGGAATAATGAAGACCAAGGGAGTAATTGTTTCATAGGGAGCCTGTGCATTCCAAATTGATTGATTTCTGGACTTTAAATTGATCCCTGTTCCTGTTGCTTAAAGCCAGCAAACAGTAGCACTAGCAGCAAGGCTGCCTGCCAGAGAAGGACATTTTCAAAATCACACAGCATGAACATTTTCTTGTCAAGACCCATTACAAGAAAAAAGTAGCATTTCAGTGAAATCATCCTTTTTATATCTATTATTTGTAACTAGCTGAGGATAAAGTAGCTGCTACTGACTCTGAGCACATAAGGGCATCGGTCGTTATAAGAAAGCAGACATATGTTTGGAATAAGCAGATCCCAATATTATATTTCTTACTCCCTTCCACTTTTTTTAAATTTTGTTTTAAATTTTTCCTTTAAATTTTTGATGCAGACATTGTACTTAAGTGCATAATAATCAGTACTTATTTTGAGAAGGCTTATTAACTGAAAAAATTGAAAATACAAATTCCCAGTTGGAGTTCAAGTGGCTCCATAATCTCCTATATAAAGTTCTTTATGTTAAAAAAGTGAAGAGCTGGGATTGCAATTGTTCTTCCAGCACTGTGTTATGAATCTGCTGTTAAAAACCTTTTTCTCATAGATTGTCTTAGCAAGTAGGGAGATGCTTTATAAATTCTACAAGCCATGTACTTTTCTGTCTAACATTTTATATCATCCAGCAACACTATCTGAGAAGAAAAATACTGAAAGAATGGGGAAAGGAATCACTAGCTGTCTCCTTACTGGCAATTAACAGTATTGTGCCCTGTTCTTTTAATATTTGGGCCATTGAGAACCTCGAAAATAGTAGCTGTTAGCCTTGTGATTGTCCAAAGACCAGGACTCTAGTTCTTTGTATTTCTGCAGGCAGCTTCATGAAAGCACGTTTTTTTTTCAAGATCTACTGGAAGGAAATAATGATTTTAAATCCCCAGTTATTCTATCTACTGCCCAGATATGGCCATGGTCCTCCATCAGCTCCCTTTCAGAGATAATTTGACAGGAAAACAGATCCTAGTCCTGTGTGTCTACAAACTGACATCTGCATGAATAGGTAAAAAACAGATGAGCTCTTCAATAAAGGCATGTCATTCAGCTCTAGCATGAGAGATGCATTTTTATTTAGATTCTTTTAGATTCCTCAGTATTAGTATATTCTAATTCTCTTAAGTAAAGCACTACACTGATGAGGACACAATGCTTTGAATCAACAGATGCTTTTTTTGTATTCCTCTGCTTTGGTACAGCAGTGATTCATGTTGTCTTCACCCATCCATGCAGATTAGTTTTCCAAAGGCCACAGCACAGCAGGGAATACAGCATTTGCAGTGAAGTTCATAAGGCATGACAATAAAAGGGACAAAGACAACATCCAAGAGATTTCAGGAATTCATTTTATATCAGAAAACAATTCTCTGAGAGACCCTAGGTTGGAAACAATAAATAGTTGGTTACACTGATAGAAGTCTTCACAGAGTGCATGTTCTAATGTCTGTTATTTTGTGAAGTGGACTGAAAGATATGGTCTGGCTGTCTGTACCCCATGTTCCTGATCTCTTAGTTATGAGGTGTAGCTCTGTAGCCCTGTAATACCATATTGCCAGTGCTAGTAACAGGCTGTACTGAGTTTGCATGACCTCAGGGCAGCGGCTTGCTAGTCCTGCTCTGACTAGGCTTTTCTTGACCTGCCTCCAGGTTTTACATGATTCAGTATGCACACCAAGTGTTCATATCAAATTTGGTTTACTTTCCCTAATTTTTGTGTGGTACAACTTTTTTTATATAGATAGCAGTAACAAGCAGTTTTTCTAGTCAGAGTCTTTCAGAGTTGGATACACATGACGCAGCACAGGCAGCGCAGGTATATGCTGATAAGGAATGGGGCACTAGCTGGTGTTAGGTTACATAGTAAAAGCTCATCTGCACCTGACAATGGAAGGCAGAGGCAACATCAGATGAGAGACCTCAAATTCTGACCTAGCTCCTTCTGTGAATCATCAGTCCATGAGAAGCCCATCTCCACAAGTTCAGAGGAGTGCAGGCACACAATGGAGGCAGGAACCCAAGTTACAGAGTTCGGATGAATAGGCACCATGTCCAGGTTCTTTCCACTCAGCCTCAGTACTGGTGGAGCTGAGGATGTGGAGCTGGGGGCATGGAGCTGTGACAGCCTTACTTCTTTTGAGCTGGCAGATGCAGCCAAATATCTCATAGCACTGGAGATAGCTATAAACAACTCAGTAATGGTCAGTAAAAAATAATATATAGTTTTAGGGGTAATGAAGAGAGCAAAGAAAACAGTAACTGACATATGTAAAAGCCACCATACATAGTAAACTTGGATGTAACCTGAATCTGTGGAACAATGAAGACAGAAAAAGTTTTAAATGACCCTACATGGAGGGAAAAAAAAAAGAAATAAAAATTGTGGAAGAGGAAATCATAAATGGGAGCACTGTATTCCTCTCAGCAAAGGGGCTCCAGATGTTGACAACTTGCTGCAACACCTTCCTTACTAAAGTGAACACCATAGTGAAAATACTGACCTTAGGAGGCAGAGAAGCAGTAGAAGGGAGAGTACAAGATCAGGGACAGGACAAAACTAAGAAGTTTGTATGTTACTATTTTAATTATATTGTTGATGGTTTTGTGCCTTTTTCTGTATTCTACCTTTTTATTTTCTGTAATAATTAGATGTACACTAATGACGATCCTTGAATTAGATTGTAAAGATTTAAGAATAGGTTCTTAGCTTCTTTTTTTTTTAGCATTTGTTTCCTCTTTGCCCATATGCAAGATTTTGAACATAACAGCAGACGCTGTTCTGTTGATGACCATGTACTTTCTTCATAAAGTCTCCTCTGAATTTTGCATGTGGGTTACCTACTGCTTATGTATATTAAAAGAACCTCTACTGTTGCTCGGTTTAGATCCACTTTCATTTAACTTAATTTTTTCAGTAATGTGTTTGTTTAATTCAAAACTAATTGCTGGAAGGGTAAAAAAAATAGGCAGTTTTGTAAGTCTGGCAAGGTTCAAAGAAAATATATCATGTGATTTCTATTTTGCTCTACTATTAAGCAGCTTTCCACCATGAGGAAACAAAATGGTCATTTTATGATAGCAGACACTGGGATGTTTTAAAACCTGGGAAACATAGATGTGCAAAATGCCTTTATTCATTCTGGTGGTGGCAAACTCTGGTAACTACTGACCCATACAGAGCATAAATATTATTTTACTGTAGGTCACAGGTAGCTGCTTCTGAAATACAGCACTCCTTTAAGGTGAATCTGACAGAATTTGACATGCATAAAAAAATACACAAACAGTATATATATAGCATGCATCACGGTGACATTCACACAGATAGTTCGGATTTGGCAACAGTTTGGTTTTGTAGGCTTCTCTTAACATTTAAACAGAAGCTAACAATCTTTCTGAAAGGAGTTGGGGTTGCTTGCCAGGTATGAATATATATCTTTGCAAAGGCCATCCTCAGGTGCAAATGTCTGTGGAATTGTGATTGGAGGTGACAAGTTGCAGTTGAGAGATTTTGAGGAAACATATCTTGAATACCACTTGAGAAAAATACACTTATGTTTAACTGTGAATACTTCAATTATATGGACAAGACCTTCAGCTGGTATATATCACCTGAAGACCCTTTGACTAGGTTTTATCATTTTAATTTCACTTTATTCATGATGTCTATTTATCAAGATATTATACCTTCTGCTTTGCATCTTTTTTATGTTACTTTGAGAATTTCCTGCTTTGGGGATTAGCATTCAAATTTATATTCATAAAATACAATAATGAGAGATAAACACCTACAGAAAAATAGGTTTACTCTAATCACATATATTTTTCCTCAAGTTTAGATGAGGTGTGGATGATTTGGGTTTTTTATCTATATTAGTTTTCTCTAGTAACGCAGTGCCATGTAAGGATCAGGTTCTTTGCCACAAAGGATCAGGTTCTCAAGGATATAAACTACTCATCATTCAACAAGTCAGCTCTGCATGAATTAGTATGTTGCTGCATGCATATAAATTGCCCCCACCCATGCAATACCTGCACAAATATCTTCATTACATTTAGGTGGCAAGGTTTTTGTGGCAGGAGCTTCAGGGATGATTCTGCATGCTTATGTAGGATAGATATGTTTTCTATCTCTGAAGGTAGTAGAAATCTTGCATTTCCTATGTATGTTTTTGTGTGTGTGTGTCTATGTATGTGTGTATATGAATTCTTTGGGATCTAAACAAAATATTTGTTTTCTTTTGTCTACAATGGCTAATGTGTTTATGTACTCTTTTGCTCATTAATGAGTTTATCCTTTTGCTCATTCTATGTCTCCAAACAATGAACCCATCTAGATTTTTTTTTTATTCTCTTCCCAAAGGTGAGAAAACCTTTCCCAGAGGCACAAAGCACAGATTCGTTAGGTACTTTCTGGTCTTTTCTCTATTCTATCAAGAGCTTCTGTTTCCCCTGGAGAAATCATCACATGCTTCCTCATGTTCTCTTCTACTCTGATGAACAGCACACCTTCTTAATAAGACCAAGGACTTATAACAGCTTTAACTCCATGCTAAATTTTTTTTTTTACCCCCTTGCTCTTTTCAGATGCATCATGCATCTAATTTATCTTGTTCTTCTGAGGATATAGCTTAGTATATTGAGTTATACTTGTTGATCTTCATCACTTGTGATTTTTTTGTCACTAGGCTCACTGATAGCATCTTTTCTTATTCACCTGTAACCAGCTTGATACTAATCAGGGTAGCCAATTCCAGGACAACCACTTGTCATTTGAGGATTTTCTGGGTGACCAGAGTTCACATTCACAGGGCAATGATGCTTCAGGGACATGTCATATCTAACACGAATACCTAGAGCAAGTTGTACATTTTTCAGTGTCAGCTCCCTACCATTTGTACTATACATTTGTGCAGCATGCGTGAAACTCTCTGTTTTCAACTTATTTCCATATTTCTTTTAAAAGATATATGACCTACAGGTTTTGTTTTTTGTCTGAGGTAGTATACTTCTGAGATTTCTGCAGGAGAGTTAGAGGATTCATGGAAGTCTGAGTAAACAATTTGCATTATGGAAAAGCTGCATGAAAAAACAAGCATTTGGAATAAGTTCTGAGATAGCTTCCTTTTGACTTGTGCTTTAAATTCTGAAGTCAGAGTGAAGATATGTTAAGCCTTGTCTGTTTGTGCTCCACACTTCTTTGCCTGGGCTCTAAATAACCAGCTCCCTATTCACACTGGTGAATTGCTTTCCTGTGTTCAGTAATCAGTCAGAGCTGAGAAGACAGAGAGCTTTGCTGCTTTCAGTGGCTGGAATTAATCAGCACTGTATAATTGCTGGTGCTGCAGTAAGCAGCAACAACATAAACAAGTGAGAAACCTGTTTAACTGCTGTGACTTCATTCTTTGTCTACTCATCTACAAGATGGAGTAACTGTACAAATTACTGTGCTTCTGCTCACATGGGGACAGAATTAACATTGAAGGATTCTTCATGTGGGAGAAAGACATGCAATCAGTAATATGCTACTCTCTTTGGCTTTTTATATGCAATTGTGTGTGTAAATAGTGCTTTTATCCATATTTCATTCCTGATTCAGGTAGTCTATGCCCAACATGCTCTGTGTGGGAACCTGACTACCTCATTTTAAGTGGTGCATTCTTCAGTTGGCTCAAGTTTGTTTTGATGATTTGACTAGTACAAAAGCTATACAAGTCTAAGGGTTCAGGCCAGAGGTATTACTGATGTCCTGTGATGTGATGTCAGGTGAATCAGACAAGAATGTATTTCAGAAATTACTGGTAAATATTATCTATATTATATATAGATAGAAATATTGTTAATAATAAATTATATCTTCAGATGTTCCAATAGTTTGTACCCATTGAGTCTGCAACTATTGTAGCAACTGAGTAGAACAAAAGATAAAGGCAAATGCACATGTATGCATACACATCTATCCATTAGTTAGTACACTTTAGTTGACAATGCAAAAACGTACATATAAGTTATAGGCAACAAGTCTTGCACGCTATTGAAATCAGATACTAGCAAATACTGTGGCACTATTAAAAATTTTGGAAGCAAAAATGTATGATTGGAGGTCTGTATTTCCTGGCTACCGCCTCTGCGGCAGATTATCTGATCTCAAGGGAAGCTGGAGCTCTTGCTGGATGGCGGCTGCCTCATACATTGGCACAGTTGGTGCTGAAGTTCCCTTTCCTGCCAAATTTTGGGATACAAGAGAAGATACTCCAGCAAAGACCCTGCTAGTACTTTAAGACCAGCAATTATGCTCTGGTCTGTTGCTTTGAAAGTGAAAGGAAAACAGCTTTAGGGACAAAAAGGGAAACTTTCCCCAGTTCATTCTTTTAACAGCACTGGAGCAGAAAGAAACACAGCTCTGCCAAAGGGGTTTAGAAAGCCAGAGGCTATACAAAGCATAGCAGGTAACAGCAAAATTGAGGATTAATCATTTTTGGTATTGTATTTAGTATTGAATTTCATACATTTATAATCATCATCTCTTCAGTACCAACGTCTTACCCAGTATTGATATCCTGGCAGATATTATAAATTAAGCATGTTAACTCTGCTTTTCAATGTCTATAGAAAATATAGAATTATTAAAAATGAACATACCATTGATGTATTATTTTTATTCTTATTGAGGTCATAGTGGTTTGGGTTTATTTGCTTTTTTTTCTTATTTTCTTTATAGCTTTTTATGTTTGACAACTTTGGGTTACAGAACACATGTTTTTATTTATTTCTAGATATACTACATTAAAGATTTTGCTCAAGCTACAGCAAATAATGGAGAACAGATGTTGTATATTATTTGTTTATTTCAGATCAAGTAGTATTTAATACATGTGCTTGTGTCTACGCAACAAATTCTACCAATTTAAATATTTATTTTGTTCTAAAAAAAATAATAAGAGGGGTTTTATTGCAAACTTTTAGTCCATTGTTGCATAGGACAAACAGATTCTATTTAAGGTTTTTACAAAGGCTGTTAGCATCAGATTAAATTTGCAGCTCGACTGCATAAAAACAAAATTACATTGTGAAATTTTTTAGCATATATACTGAGTCATACCCTATTTTCAGTGGTTTATTACAGAGAGAAAAAAAAGATTTTTTTCATTTGAAATATATACTTAGAAGCTTATTTTACTTTATTTTATTATGAGACATCTAACGGTAAATGTTTACTGTACAGTGTACTTGTGTGTTGCTTTAGGTAAAAATATTATTTAAAACATGTATGTATGTGGACTTACTGCCCCCACCAGACTCTTGTATGCTGAAACAAGATGGAACGCCTTCAGTTAAAAGTATAGGTGAAAGTGGAAGTGTTAAGCCTAAGACTTAAATTCGTTGAATGTTTACTGTAGATACCTTTCAAAAGGCATCTTGTGCTCTTCCTAGACTGGTGTTTACCTTGTGGTACTGGAGTGTACTCTACCTCTTGTATTCCCCAATATTCAGAGGTCTGTAAAAGACTTGTCATTTCACAGTCATACCTTGTATACACTTTGTCTCTCCTAAAGTGGCCTTTTTTCTTTTTTTCTTTCTCTGTTAAATTTAGAAATTTAGAAGTATCTATACTTAGGAATATTTCAGTCAAAGGCACTAATCTTTTATGTTTATTGGTTTTTTTAGCCTGTCTTTAAGATAAGCAATTGCAAGGCATTATTGTTAGAGAAGCAGAAATTTCACATCTTCACATGGTTCATTAAATAGCTAACATTCTATTTTTATGTATGAAGAACAATGTTTTTAAAATAACTTAATTATCTAGGCCAGATAGAATTTATTCAGTATAAAAGCTGTAACACAGGATTTTACAGACACATTGCAAGACCGAACAATATTACTGAGACTAAATGTAGCCCTGTATAATAGATATTAATATTTTAGAAATAGGAAAATAAAAGATCCCATTAAATTGTGCTTATCTTTAAATGCAACATCTTAGCAGAAGGACTAAGACACAGATAGGCCTGCTACGATTTAATCTTCACTCTATTCAGTGGACATTGCCATGTATTTCTGACCTGTTTCTCTGACATGAGAGGTACATTTGATGTAAAATGGTGCCCTTTCTTGTCAGAAGCTGCTAAAGAGTTTTAAAGCAAGTATTAAAGCCTGCTTTGAAAAAATTAAATGTTATTTGATTATACTTTTAGATCTGTAACAACATTATGCCCATTCTATGCAACACAAGTTGAAGGCAAACATGGATCCCAACGTCCTATATGTTTGACAATGTCCTCTTAAGTTTTAATGTATTCTTTTTGTGCCCAAGTATCCCAGGGGTTATAAAGATGTATGGTCTATCTTTGTTTCACCTAACCAATACTACTTAGTACTCAGGAGCATTTAGTGCACATCAGTGATGACAACAGTTATTGACTGAATATTCATGGAATTCCTTTTATTTTAATATACTTTCTCATTCTGTCTCCTTGCAATCTTTTCACTTTCATAAGACTTTTTGCAATACAGACTCCCTCGACATATGTTTTCCCTTCTTGGTTTTCAAACATATGTTGTGCAGCACTATAAAGATTATAAAACAATAGTTCCTCCTGTCCTGAGCAATTGCCAGATTGCAGATTTTCTATGAATAAAATATTACATTTCTATGTACTGAAACAATACAAAACCAACCTCATTACTGAAGATTCACACATCAGATACTAAGCATACAGTTGACTTGGGGTTATTACAGAACAGCCATCTCAAATGATGATGTTTTTAGTGCTGTTTGTTGGTATCATCTAATTGCTATTCCAGAACAACTGAAACCAAGAACACTTTGGATTTTATATTTCCTTGCTGCATGAATACGTTAATTGCAGAAAAAAATTCAGAACCTGTATCTTTAAAGGTTCAGTTCTTAACTATGTCTAATAATTCAGTTGTCAGGTATCAGTCTAGACTTCAGCCTGAGTGATCAAGTATCATATAACAAGACATAAAAAAGTATCACTCTCAGAAGGAAGCTAATCCATCTGTCAGAATGGTATATATATAAAGAGGACCTGTAGAGAGCAGAAATCCTGTGTTTGACTCAGAGCTATACAGTTTGTGCCTTCTTCTCTAGGTATATGTGTTCTATAGTAGAATGTGAATATGTACAGTTTCCTTTTTTTTTTCTTCATAATTAATCAGAAACTATACGATCCTTACCCTGCCTTCCCACATGCCTTCTTCCCCCAGAGACTCCATGCTTCTGGTAGTTAGGACCTTGAGATGGGTGCTGTGAATATTTACTTGGCTGTGCCACAGAACACCACAGAAAGCAGTGCTGACATTGGCAAACACTTTTAAAGAAATTTTCTATTTATAAACCACACATCAAGAGCTACTAAGCTCACTTGAAACCCCTGTGAGCTCCAGGCAGAGCTGTCTCCTTTTTACAAGCAACACTGTGTTCTGCCCTGTAAAACCCATGGTGTCAAAAGTGAATGCAGAAATTATCCTGCACCCTCCTCTTGACAACAGTATTCCTCACAAATAATTTCAGGTTTGGTTCAAAAAGATTACATTTTGTTATTTTCCTTCTTTGTTAGGTACAAGCACATCGCAATTATCTGCTTCCTATCTCTGTCAGTTTTACTGAAGGAGACAAGATTTTTCTACCAGAATGGACATGCAAATATTATTGAAAGGAACAAAAGAAAACTTCGGGGATGAAAAATAAGCTTTACCCACTAACATTTCAGTGATGCCAAATATAGGATTGTGACCTTTCCAAATTACACCTTTTACAACATAATGCAAGGCCTTTCAAAAAGAAAATAATTTTAATTATATTCATCTAAAATAAATGTGTACTTTTGTGTGATAAGAGGAAAAAGTATATGCATTTTACCACTGTTGTACACATCAAAATAAAAGTGTAGGGAGAGACTTCAAAAGTAGGGGATATCTTAAACTTCATAAAACATGTACATTTGTAGTGTTTTATACGTATTCCTGTACTGCCTTACAAATCTCCTGTTCCTATACACATTGTGTAACTGGATTTACAGGAGCTTATTTTTATTCACAGCTAGTTAAATGAAAAATATATATTCCCTGAATCAAAGTGAATTAAAAGGAAATGACTTGCTAAGGGAGAAGGTAGTTCAGTTTTCTCATCAGCAGTCTATTCATGAGTGACCCACAGGCAACTCACATTGCACATGGAGTCTGCTGAAAATTGGGCACCGCTGCCAGTATAATCTCTTTCTTATCTTCAGTCCAAGTCTAGTGATTGCCACCTAAATAGGAACTGGGGGAAGGAACACAAAGTGCAAAGCACTGCATTAAATTGACACGGTATATCACTGCTTGGCAGGCTGTATATTTTTATGCAATGCGTTTTGCAGACAGAGATAAATACACAAAACTTATCATAGTATATGTATATACATAGTATAAGTAATGAGGTGCTTCCTTGTCTGAATTCTTTTCTCAGTTACACCAGTCTCATTGAAGTTAACGGTGCTGCTCCAGTATAAGAGACAAAACTTTTGAGTGTGATGGATGGGAGAGTGGTACTTTCTATCTTGTGCCACACAACAGGCACACTAAACACTGTGAACTTCCAAGTAATGAAAAGCTGCGAGATCAAAGCACAACTGTCTCCATAACCAACATGGCTAAAACCTGATTATGGTTTAAGTGACTTCAAAAGCATTATGTGAAGGATGACTTTAGCATTTGAACTTAGACTACACTGATACTCCAGCAACATTATGTATATAAAGGAGTTTTAACTGCTGCTTCCCACTCTGTTAGGGACAGATGTGATTGGCTTTCAACTACTAGAAAGAATGTCTTTACTGGCATTTTTTTTTTCACATAATACTTTTTTTTTTTTTTCCAAAAAAGAAATGCACATTGGAGTGGGGGGAAAGTAAAATTCCAATTATTGTGAAATCATATAGAATTCTTTGAACAATTTCAACAAAAACAGCTTACCTGTTAAGAAATTCTGGATGTTTTGATAATTTAATTTTTCATTGTTAATGAAATGTAAAATAACAATAAAAACAGTATCAAAGAGCTTTCAGAATAAGAAACCTAACTGCTAACCTGGAACAACTTTTAGTTTCTTCCCTAAAAAAAATTATCACTTGCAGCACTGCTTTGTGATGACTTTAACTTATGCTTTGAATTCATTTCAAAACAATCTAACTAATTTACGTTATAATTTGCACAGAGAATTATGATAATGAATAGAATATATTAATATATTTAATAAAACATTGCTATGCATCCACATATGATGTTTTAAAACGTCTGTATTCATTGCAAACACTGGCTGATGTGACTATACAATATGTTACATGTGATAAACACAAATTCCAGTTTGGCAGGAAAACTCAAAAGAAAGAAATGGGCTGACTAAACTATGGAAGATGGTCTTGTCTTACCACATCATTGTTCTCAGCTTTCTACTAGCTACTTATGTCCTTCAAATGGGAGGAAAAGGTTTTGTATGTTACTTATTTCACCACTAAACCACCTTTAAAAGCACCAGTTTATGTATGACAGTATCAGTGCCAACACTTTTTTTTTTTTTTTTTTAATTAAGCTGAAAAATACAGAATACCTATGTATTGCTGTTTATTTTTTCTGTTATACTAATAGAGCTCAAATGCTTTTGTATAATATAAACTGTTTAATACTTAATTGAGTATATAGAATTTACTCAGGGTTACTTCTTTAAATAATCTCTGGAGTCACCTGTTTTCTTATTGTGCTATAATATTGAAGCATGTACCTTTCAGAATTATGCACTTGAAGAAGGACATTACAACATTGTTGCTTTTTAATAGTTAAGGATATTATAAGAAATGAGATCCTTGGCTGGACTGATTTGCAAATTCTGAGAATTTCCTCATAAAATTAACTTTTACCTTTCCATCTCCAAATGTGTTCAGAATTTAATTGTCTAATAATAAACTTCCCTAAGTGATGTACTTCTGCAATAAGAATTTTATAAGACTCTGTTTATTAGACTTCCGTAGCATCTTCGGAGTTAAAAAAAAGTTGTTGTGTGGGCTTTCCTCTTTGTTTAAGTGAAACAATCAGCATTGCATAATTTGAGATTGCAAATCACTGAGACCAAGCCAAGTCTCCATTCAAATCAATAGCAAACTCCTGTAGACTCATATTGAGTGTTATTTTAAGAAAGAGGACTCAGGAAGTCACAATATTTTCTATGGAAAAAGGTGCAGATATGGGCAATTTCTTTGAGAATCATAGGTAATAAGAACTATGTTAATAAGTGAAATGGAAAGATACATAAAAATAGTGAGGAAATGGGGGAAAAAGGGGTCTAATTTAGGAGTATGGGGACTTTGTAGCTTAGTTTACAAGACTGACTCATTTACCTGTTCTGAACACATAGAAAAAATTTTAATAAAAAGCAAATGTGACCATTAGATTTTGAGCTCTGATCTACATTGCCCTTCATTGCAAAGAGTTTCTTTGTTCTTTCTTAAGCAAATTGCTGCTAAACCCAGCTGTTATTCAATAATATTGGGGGTGGGCTGTTTCTAAGCCCAAGTTTATAATTATTGCTTTGAGTGAAAAATTTTTCAAAACACTACACACGCATACATTATATTGTTGGAAATGCATGAAAAAAAGAAATCCTCAGTGTTACAGGGAAAGCCTCTGGGACCTAGGATGTCAGTTTTAGAAGAGAGATTGCTCTACCTATAAATTCATCTCTCCTAGAACTGACATCCAAGGTCCCAGAGCCTTTTTCCATATCACTAAAGACTTTTTTAATACAATTCCAGCAACGTAGTGCATTCCATTCTTTACAAGAAATGTTCACTTATTCATATTGCAGACAGCCAGACATCCTGCTGACTGTCTGAGAATATTAGAAAACTGTTGGAAATGGAGGTACCAAAATACCATATTGCACTAAATTTTCAAGAAGTTTTCAAAAACTAAAATCCACTATGTCTTTCAAATGAAAAATGTCATGTGGAAAAAAAAAAACAAAAACAAAAAATTAAAAACAAAAAACTAAAAGCAAACACAAAAATTAAAGAAAAAAAACTCAAACAAGTGAAGCATAAGCTATTAAAAATGTTTTATGCCCACATTTATTGTATGTGTGTGTGTGTTTCATGAGGGTAAGCTGGGAGAAATGCAAAAGTATTTCTCATTGGTCATCAGTCTCTCATGAGTGTTATGGCACAAAGCCTTCCTTCATGTACTGAAAAGCCTCTAAGCCTTCAGCTAATAACAGTCACAGATCAACTACATTAAAAGAGAAATGTTCATTTTTGTCAGCGAGACTTGTCTCTGTTCAAATTTAACTGCTTTAGTTACAGTTGGCAAATGCTATGAGGACTTCAAGACAATTTTTTTTTCATGTGAATTGTAAGGGAAAGAAATTATAGGTATTTAAAGCAAGCTAGAGACGTGCTACTAGGTGTAGCATAGAGGTGCACTGCTAGGAATTCAGGGATATTAATTTGGACAATACATATTCCCAGTTAGGAGCATATGGGTACTAGTAAACTCAGAGCGAACAGAGAAGCTTTTTCAGATTCGCACTACAGCAGCTGCATGTTGAAGGATCCCTGGCAGCTGAACAGCTCCGAGATAGGCTGCTTTTTAGGTATTAGTAGACCAGAATAATCTATGATCACAATATGAGCTCCAGAGTTATCATGTAAACATGGTACTTACACTGCTGTAGAGGTGAATATAAGTGCTTTAAAGGGTATTTCTGAGGTTTGATGTGAGTTGATTTAGCTGACAAAATAAACATGAACCTAGGCAGCACTGTAGTCACCTGAGTGCATTCTTTTTTCCTAGGGGTGTTGGTAGGAGTGAGAAAGAAGGAAAAAAGAGTAAGTTAAAAAGGAAAAAGGAAAAGACAAGAAGAGAAAGGAGAAGTAATATAAAAATAAAAGAAAAAGAAAAAATAGGAGAAAATATAAGAGAAAAAAAAGAAGGTAAAACAAAGTAAAATAAAGCGGAGAAAAAAAAAAAAGAAACAGGAGGGAGAGAGGTAAAGATGGAGGGAGGGAGGGAGGGAGAAGAAAAGCCTTGATTTGGTTGTGATGCTCCTTGGAAAACTACAAATATCCCTAACAACACGAATCTGTGCAATACCGAATCTGAGCTGAGGTCAGAGGACTTTGTGGAGACTAAAATATCTACTGTTGTGTAGTCAGGTGGCGAACTATTGCTTCAACTGAGAAGAATTCTAGAAGCCCCTGAGATTTTCAAAACTATTATTTTTATACATTTACAACTGAAGTTTTGAAAGCTTAAGTGATCCAATGAATCAATAAAAGTATATTCTAGGTTCAGAAAAGTCTGAGGATAGACTTGCCTGACTCAGGTATTTTT